CCGTCACAACCCTCCTCGCCCATGAAACATCCCAGTCCACAACTGGGTATGCGTGGTACCGGTGTACAAACTGTGCTTCGGAACCAACGCATCACTGCACGTGACTCGCCGTTCCGTATGCATCAGACGGTTCCAGTCGGTGGTCAGTACTATTTACGTTTGGACAATTCGTACAGTTGGATGCGAGTGAAACGTGTACGATATTCCGTCACAGTGAGTTCTGTTTCCCTAATGTCCATCATTGGATGATCACGTCGGAAATTCCTCGTTCCTGTTTGATGCACGTATGACATTTTTTTGTCGCGTTCGTGCACTCACTCGTCGCGCAGGCTGTATCCATCACCTGTCTTTTGAAATAATTAAACCATGAGGACAATGTTCACTCATTAGGTCATTTCAGTTCTGTCATATCCCTTGCAGAACGAAATAGTCTTTATTCCTACTATATTTACATTCAATGCGATATTAGAAATGTAGTACCGATTCCCGATTTTCCAAACTACCGAGTGAAGCGGTCGTTAGTAATAGACGACAAATGCTTAGATGTCATTTGATAAACCACGGATTTTCAACTGTAACTCCTAAACAGATTGTCGAATCAAGATTCGTCGTTGTCTCTTATTCACCTTTAACCCTAACTGATGGTTCCGTTTGTCAGTTGGATTCACTTTGATCAAGTGGAACCCCACGTTGAATGTATATAACATCTATGGGAGTTTATGGGTTTGATGCGTGTGATTTGGCAAGTGGTGTCTCGTACAGGTATGTGTGTGGTGGGCTTGAAAGGTGTTAGATGGGTTACCAAAACGGCTTACTACAGTAGTTCTGCTCTTTGAATCAATGAACAAAACGTAGATTCATTCACAGTTCAAAGACTACCTGACAAATTGTACAAGTTTGTTTTTCACTCTCGACTAAATAGTTGTTGTCCTCGCACCATTCAGGTTGCATGAATTGATGAATCTGTGAGTAAACTACACGGCTAGGTGAAGTTTCATCAGCTCCCATCCTGAGTAAAACGTGTGACCCGTCCAGGACTAAAGAGGCGGTGAGAATTTCCAGTCACTGTTCCAAGAAGTTTGTTTTTTCAAGGTACAGATCCACATGGCTATACGTCATTCATTTTGTAGGCGGAACCGTATATGTGCGTTGCCTTTATTTTGCCATTCTCCCACAGAACGGTTCACGTTCAATCATCTTCTTTTGAATCAGTATGATGCACACACACACGTACATGTGCACTGCCTATTAAAATGCTAAGCAAATTTCATGGGTATTCCCTTTCTGGCATCTACATGATTTCACCATTTTTTATTGTTGCTGAAACGTTAGAAAGAAATCAAATGAAAAGCCGAAACTCTAAATCATCATCAAGTTGTCTCTTATATCAACAATGATCGATCGAAAAAAACAGATTTCACCGCGAAAACAGTAATGCACCCACCGTGAACATTGTCTATTGAAGCCGGCCGCTTGGGTCTCTCTAAAGTTTCCTCATACTCTTGAGAACATTGCAAATACTGTCACCATTCGGTACTATCCGAATGTGTAAGGTCTTATGTATTAGTGTACTTTTGGGGTAAGAATAGCCCAAGCGTTTTTAATCATGTAGGCCATATTGTTATTTTGATGCCGCGAAAAAATAGACAGTATAATGTTAGATATAGATTATAAACCGTGACATTATCATTATTGGCTTCAGTATAATCATTCAATGCAGTTGTTGGTTTAAAGAGCCACTCCAATGTACGAGTTTATGCATCCGAATCTTGCAGCCGCCTGTTGTCCTATAAGCACACTAGACGTAGTTAGTTCGAACGGACGAAGAACGGCGTCAGATTGTGGAGGATTCGCTGAAACTTGGACAGTAGTCGAGGCAAGACACGAGAGAACGGCGGCAGAGCTTCTATCTGAAACAACTGTTAGTACGATCATCTGAAGAACCCAAGAGAAGTGGAGATATGTGAGGATGCACTCCAGCCTTTGCGCAACCAAGCGCGGAATGCAAAGCATCAGTGGTGATGAACTGCCAGAATTCAGTTCATTCGGCTTTTCTGAAAAACATGGTCGAACAATCGATTTCGTCAAAGGAAATAGCCATATCTAGTGGCGGACCACACGCCACATCACAGCGTTGTCCACAGATACGTGTGGTGTTTTGTGTAGAGAATCCTTACCAGGAGGTAAAACCACCATATCCTAGAGTCCTGCCACTGACCGTCCGCAACCGAATATTCGGAGGGCCTAAGCCTGTCTTATTCGTGGTTAACCGCCAGATGACGGTCGTCCTTCTATCCGCGACTTCGGGACACGCTTGGTAGCATACAGCTCTGCTCTCCCGAGTTGCTTGTTAGCTGTATCGTTCGCACCGAAACGTTCAACTCGGGTGTATCTCTCACGGAGTTTGATGTCAAATGTGGCAACCTGTACAACCTTCCTCCAATATCTTTTTCTGATATCAACCAATTTATACCTGGTTTGTGGTTGTTTCCGCTTCACATATCGTTGTGCAGTGTATGTAGACCTATTGTATCGCCTACCTATCTCGTGTGGTGATATTCATATTACTAGAGGCATCGATTCTGGATTTCTCGATATCAGTAAGCCTCTTCCAACATGCCGTAGTTTACAGTGGGTTGTAGTAACCCACCTGGTTGTTTCCCTTCATCCAACGTCATTGAAAGTGACGTGAAAGTATGCCGATTGCCACCAGGGTGTTACATGACCGTAGCTTGTACGAGTCTGTTAGCTTCTGATTCGTCATTTGTTACCAGTTGCCATGTCAAAGTACAAATGCGGGATGACTAACGCACTCGTTTTTGAGCCGAGTTAGATGT